GAGAGACTGTCCCTTCTTGGCCACACACAGTCACACCCCTGGCTGGCTTGGCTGCTCCAAAATCCCCTCTTCCAGCCTCACTCAAACACAAATCCCATCCATCATAAACAACCCCACACTTTGGTTTCCTTCTGCCCTTGTGTTGCTCTGGTTCTCCTGATGCTGCTCCATTTACTGGGATTATTTTCAGTCCTGCCAGGCCTGATCTTGTGCAGTGAGGAGGGTGCTCAACAAAGGTAAGTGTGAGGTGCTTCACCAGGCCCAAGAGCCCCTGAGGGTTGTTAGCCTTGTGGTTAACAGGTTACAGGCCATGGCTGAGGCACTGCTGCAGCTGAGGATGATCTCCCAGCACCTTTTTGCAGGACACTGGACCTTCTCTTTTCACCCTGAGACTCCACCAACTCTTTCCCCATACCTGACACTGACATTCCAGGCAGTTACAGGCTATTAGAACACATGGGAGATACCAAGGGCTGGGTATAAAACAGAGTGCATTGCCACACATGGAGTTTTGGTGGGGTGGAGAATGGCCTGAGCTCTGCCTCTGAGGGCCCCTCCCAGTGACAATGGTGCTGGTACCCAGATAAGACCTGGCTGTTCCCTCAGGCCAACACCTTGGGCCTCAGGAGTGACTGGTTGGCCACCCATGTGAAACACAAAGGTTCCCATTCTGCCCCTGCCTTCCCATCTGCTTCCCTTGAGCCCTGCAGCACCTCAGCAGCATTCCCTAGGACTCCTTGAGCGGACTCAGTCCTGCTAGCACTGGGCGAGCTGTGTGCATAGCTCTGTAAGGTGTGTCTTCACCCCTGCAGCACCTCTGAGAGGTTCACTGGAAACCCCTCGAGGCATTCACCAGCACAGGAGAGGGATAGGAAATCCTCCCTTCCCTGGCACATGCAGACACGTGTGTTTCCAAGAAGCAGCACCCCTCAAAGACCAGGTTATTTCTTTATTTCTCTTTGCTTCTCCAGAGATGTCCCCCAGAAGCTCCAGAGAAGCCACCACCTTCTTGCAGGAAGGGGCACATCACTCCTCAGGAGTGTGCTGAGGCTATGCTGCTCCTCCAGACCTTGCTGGAGCTGTGCCTGCCCAGCCCTGGTCCCACAGTGCTCCCCCCTTCCAGCCCTGGTGTGCAGACACCGCCCACGAGGGATGGCCTGATGTCACCTGGTGGCAGGGTATATCTGGAGGACAAGGGACACCTCGAGACTCTTCCTGCCCAGGCTGGAGGACGGGAGTTGAATGATTTGCAAGAGGAGCCCTTGGCACTGTGAGTGTTCCCTGGGAGCTCGAGGCAATAGCAAGGGGGGCAGGGGGATGGAAAAGGAACTGGCTGAAAAACCCAGGGGAGAGAAAAGTCCAGATAAAACTCCATGGGGGAAAAATTTGGATGTTGGTGCTTGGAGAGTGTGAACAGATCGAGTAGCTGGGAGAGGGAATTGTGATTCTGGCGTGGTTGCTTTGTTTCCTCTATCATTAGGGCAGGTGCTGCTGCAGGGTTTTGTCTCAAATCTGGCTGTACAAGCAGGGGCTGCTCAGTTCCTCATACTGAGGAACCCCTGCGCTGGACACCCCTGGGCTGGGTCTCCCTGGAACCCCCCTGGTTTGTGTCCTCAGCTGGCTGAGCCTGCTGAGAGCAGCACTGGGGGGCTGCCAGGGAGCAGATGGGACAGGCAGCTGGTGTTCCCTGCCCCAGTGCCCAGCCACACCTGCAGGGCACTGCAATGAGGAGCTCATAACATGGTGCTGTACCTCTGCTCTCACTGAATCCCTTCTCTCAACTGGGATAGTCTTTCCAGTGATCCCCACTTGGGAATATAGCTCTACTGGAAATGAGTTTCTGTCTCTTAGAGTGCACCCTCTGTCACCTGTTCTTGGTCTTAAAATTGCTGCCAGAATGAAGGATTTGAAATCCTGTGTAAGACACAGGAGCAGAAAGGGCTGAACCTGCGTGGACTTCTTCCCATCACTATGATCAGCCACCTCAAGCAATTGAGGCTGGAGCTGTGAGACTCCTCAAAGGCCCTGGATTTGATACTCCCTGACAAAAGCCTGAAAGGATGATGCAGGTGGCTCTCCTGAGGCCAAGATCTGAGCATGCAAGAAACCCATAAAGAGAATGTGAGCACAAGGATGTTTCCCTCTGGTTCCTCTCTACTCACAGAAGAGTGTCTGCATGGAGGGCCATGGCTCATGGAGGTTCTGTGTCTGACACCCTGAGGCAGTGTAAGACAAGTGCGCATGGAAGAATCTGTATTTTTGAAAGCTTTGGACAGGGGAAGATAAGTTCCTACACCAGAACGGTCTGAAAAGAGAAAAGAAGATCAAGTGATGAATCTACATTATCTGCCAGAGACATTTTCCACAGGGAGTCAGAGATTAAGGATGGAGCAGATTAAAGAGTCAGCATTCGTCAGTAGTATTCAAGCCCCTTTGAATTTAAATAAAACTAAAAGAAGGATGATTAACCTGGCCAACAACCCCGAGGTGGGATTTCTGACGCAACTGAGATAAGCCCATTAATGTGTATCAGGTATAATTAGCATTCAGATGCAAGCAAAGCTCTTACCTAGAGGATTAAGCCCTCGACTGAGCAGAAATGCTGTCAGGGGCAATTAGGTGACACCTCGTCAGAGGAGGGAGCAGAGGAAGTGCATGGCAGAGGATCTTATGCCTCGACAGTCTTTGCACCCACAGCCATCAGCTCTTGCCCAGGAGCTGTGTGCTGCTGCTGGCAGGAGCAAGGGAGCTCTGGCAGACCAGGAAACACTGGGAGAAGGCAGCAGAGCACTTGCAGAGAGCTAGAGGAGACTCAGAACCTTTGTCAAAGCCACCTGTTTGATCTGGTACCAAGGACTATCCAAGTAACCAGGTATGGTAAGACAAAAGGCTGTGAAATTCCCATGGGAAGAAGCTGCCATTGGCATTTCTATCACGTCTGTAATCCTGGGGTGCTTGTCTGGCTGTGTGTGGGGGCAGTTTTTTCCCAAGGTGTGGGAACTGGGGCAGTTTCCATGCTCTGGGGCAGGGCCCACTCCAGCATGAATGGAGTATTCTTTGACTGTAATGGTCGCAAGCAAGCCCCGCCAGCTCCATGGTGGGAAGGCACCTTGATTTCAATGGCAAGAGGAAAGATGTTATGTGGCATTAAGGTTGCTTTCCATCCTCTGTCATTTTGTAGTGATGCATGGAGAGAATTAGAAGTAAAGGGAGATTAGTAAGGAAGAAGTTAGAATTGTCCCTAATGTTAGAAATGTCCCTGGCTAAAGGTTTCATTGAGTGCTCTTTACTGAATTCATGCAGGTGAGAGTGGATGACGTGTGATTTGGGCAGATCCTTTTTCCTACCAAATCCTGGGTTATTGAATATCTGGTAAATGGATACAACTACTTCAGACTGAGGCAAAAAGAAACTTCAAGGGCCAAGTCTTCCCATTAGCTATTCCTCTGTTGAGTGAAGTTGGGGACAAAATGTGGACTCAAGGATTAAAGAGGTTTTCACCCTCAAAGGCATATTTGTGATTAAGGTAACATGCCAGTGCACAGCAGAGGTTATTGAAGCAGGGCAGGAATTCAGCAGGAGATGGAGCACAAATACATCTTTCAAGTTTTGGATGTCAGTCCTAAGGGATGGAAATCTGTTAGCTGGTTTGTTTTTTCTGTTGTACTTTTGGGAGTAGCCCTTGAGGAGGGTGCCACGTAACATGGTGCTTAAAAGTGGATGCATGTCTCTCTTAGTTCAGGAGTGGGGTCTAGCACTGAGACAGAGACCTGCTGGTAAGAATTGCATCTGAGAAAGAGACATAGTAATAGACTTTGGCACATTAGCAGACATGCTATGGAACAGCTTTCTGATGCAAAACATTTTGTTGTAAGGCAGTATCATCTGAATTCCTCCCATCCTGAGTAACAGAGAGGGACAAAATTATGTCTTTCGTTTGGAGGCAAAATGCCTTCATCTCTCAGTTTAACCCTAAAAATCTGTGAGTCAAAAGATTTCATCTCTCCTGCCAGCAGTGCAGTCCAGGTCATACCTATAACTGCACTTCCATTCTCATTCTGTTAAAGAAGAAGGTGACAGTGTTTGCCTGTCCTGCCACCATGCTGTGAGGAAAAAGAAAAAGCTGTAAATACTGGGCAACTGTTCAGGCACTGCAGAGAAGGCAGCCAAATAAGTAACTTCCAGGGTTTGAGCTGGTCCTTGTGTTTGTGGGCACAGAGTGTGCTTAGGAAGCGTTGTGTTACACGCGGGGGAATAGCATCTGTGCATTCTGCAGCTTCAGACACAACCATCTGCTGCTCCATTTGGGGCTGCTGGAACCTGTCCAGTCTCCTGCTTGGGATATTACAGCTGAGACAGAAGCCTGACCACAAGCGACAGAAGAACTAGCCTGCCTCTAGGTGCCATCATTTGGAGCCATCCTACTGCCACCACAGATGGAAAGATGCTCTGGATGAAGTATTTCCAGAATGTCACAGATACAGAAATATGGCTCTTCACCTTACATGGATGTGGAAGTGACACAGGAGGATTGCTCAGATGATCTTTCTCCTTGTATATAAGGATTTGCTTTCCAATGCTCTGGCTATTTCAGGATAAAGGAATGAACTGTCTTTAGAATAAGGAAAGAAATCTTTGATGACATTTATAGTTCTGAGATTAGAAGTCCAGAGTGCCACGGCAGGTGATGTTGGGGATTAAGCCAGAGTACTATGGTGACCTAATGAGATTAGTCTTTAGAACCAAATCCTGAAGTTAATTCCATCAGCGATTACATCACCTGGAGATAGGAGATATATAACAGTCATGGGGAAAACGTGACTTCAAGGAAGAAAGAAAGAAGTTACATTTATTTTTATCCATAATTGCACTTGTTCAGACCATTATATTACTAATGGCATACTAATTAGCACAAAATTTGATGAAGGGCTGGTTGCTTCCCTTTGGGCACTGGTGAGAGTTATAGCTGTCCTCTCTGGGAAGGGAGCAAAAGGCTCAGAGTGCAGCAGTTCTGCTGTCTAAGACAGGAGACATGTCTCCCAAACAGAAATTGCTCCTTGATAACTATTTATCCTCTGTGGAGTTTGGGTCATGTACAGTGTGGTGAAGTGGGGTCAGCACATGTAATATAATGCTCAAAAAATACCAAAGTGGGCATATCCTGGGCAAAGTTACAGGCTTTATTCCTCTAAATCCTGAGAAATTTGTGAAATAAACTTCTGCCTAAAAGGTAGTCTCCAGTGTGATGCCTTAGCCTTCTGCATAATCTTGCAACAATCTTGTGCTATTTCCCGTGAGTTTGGTATTGACAAATGTTGGGCCCTAATTGCAGCTCCCCGCAGACAAAGGATCCTTCCAGCCCAGTGTCCCACATCCATCAGTGTTCCAAAGGTAATGCTTAGGCACAAGTATGAGAACAGGTGAAGAATGTCATGGTGATTCCCAAGGACAGGATATTTCTCTAAGCCATACATGAGTCTTCATGGCTCCTGTAGTAGTCATGTCCTGAAGCAGTAAGCAAAAACCTCAGCAATACTATTCCAAAGCTAGCTATTAAAAAACTCCAGCATTGGCATTAAACTTCCAGTTTTACCTAAATTATGGGGCAAGCTTCTGCAGCAACTTGTCTCCAAGACTGCAACTGTGTTTGAGGCAAGAGGAGGTGTTAGTCTCCATGGCTCTGCAAGACATTGCACCACAGGGTAAATGTCTTTTTGGCCTTAGCTCAAGTGCTCTTTGTTTGGCATCTTAATTCCAGCATGCCAGATGAAAGGCAGCGCTACCCTGCCTAATTTGTACTCATTACAATCTTTCTTTATCTTTAATACCATTATCTTTAATCCTGTCACAATTATATTTTCCATACTTCTGTCATCTGACTACTGATACCTAGAAGAGATAAGCAGAGCGTTGTGCCAGTCCTTGCTGTTATCTTGCAGACAGAGGGATCTGAGAGAGGCCCGTGCCAGCTGCCCACAGCCCAGCGATGAGCGAGACCCCGGCCGCCAACCTCAACACGGGCGATGCTCCCACCGGCCCCACCACACCGCGCAAGGGGCCCCCCAAGTTCAAGCAGAGGCAGACAAGGCAGTTCAAGAGCAAGCCCCCCAAAAAAGGAGTAAGAGGGTAAGGGAATTGTGGAGAGAAAAGAAACCATGCTAGTTGAGTCGCTCCCCACTGCTACATTGTGCTTCTGTGCATCGTCCCTTGGGCAAGGAGATGGCTTCCCCTGCGCCCTCGGCTCTCCAGCCTGGAGCTGCTTCTCTTCTGCTCCTCTTCTGTTCCTCTTCTGCTCCCTACCCACAATTCTTATTCCTTGGCTGGGGGCTTAGGGCATCTCCCTTTTCCCTGCTGCTGCCCCAAACTCACTCCTTACCTGCTCTTTTCTCTCCTAGGTTTGGAGATGACATCCCAGGCATGGAGGGGCTGGGCACAGGTAAGCTCTGCAGGATGTTGTCGTGCCCTGCTTTAACACTAGCGTAGACAAACTTGATCATGGGAGAGGATTCTGGGGTGCCTCTCTTTCCCTGCCTGTCTGCAGCTCTCAGGGTCACCATTGAAGACTAGGTCTGCCTGCCCAAGCTGCCACATTCATGCTTATACACTATGTGAAGAAAAGACTATTTATGTATGTTTCAGCTTCAGACTACCTACACTGGGCTGCAGAAGTGCTTGTTTGTTTTCTGCTAATACCCCGGCTAAGAATTTCAGCAGCATGAGATTCTCAAATAAATGCTAAATGCTAAGCTATTAATACCAAAAAATCACAGAAACTGAATCCCAGATGGTCAAGTGTTTGTGTTGTCATCAGAATCCTAATTTTAAGAATTTTATGTACCCATCTGGGATTGAGAAGCATGCATTGGATGAGCTGTAGCCAGTCAGAAGTTTGAAGTTTTGATGAAGAGAGAGTTATAGATCCTGAATATTGTAGGCCAAATTATTCAGCATCTGATCTAAAACTGCACATGTCTTCAAGGAGATCACAGTTTGGCTACAGGTAATTTATAAGAACAGGAGAAACCACATAACTGGAATTAACTTTTACACCAGTTTACCTAGTCACTGAAGAGACTAGGAACTGCTGGCTTGCTTTTGCTCACAGAGAGAAAGTACACTGATTTGGTTTGGTCTGACAGGTAGTACCAGATTGGAAATGCTCATCTGCCCATTTAACCTTCAAAGGGAATCTCATTTTTGTTAATGTTTCCTGAGCAAATCAGCCTTTCCATTAATAAAAAAATAAATCCAAGGAGCGCATTGGGCTACAGGAACACATTTGTCATTTTCCCTCTTTTGCAGATATCACCGTGATTTGCCCATGGGAAGCTTTCAGCCATCTGGAACTGCACGAGCTGGCCCAGTTCGGGATCATCTAAGGTGTCAGCATCTCTGCTGGTGTCACCTGGTGACTCCACAGATCCCAGCATGGTCTTTACCACCTTTGACACTTACTTTTGGCCCTTGCATCCGCTTGCTTATGGGCAGGGTGGTTTTGTAAGAGCTAGTTATGAGAAACTTAACTTTGCAGGTTAATTTGGCAAAGTTATTTGGGACCCTGAGCAGACCTCATGTTCCATGTGATGAAACTACTGAAAAATGTCTTAATGTCTCCCTGCACCATATTCTTTCTTCTCTCACTGTCATAGGTCTTCAATGTTTATGGCGATATGGGGAGGCTGTATCTGAACTTTTTTCCTGATTAGCTGAGATATTGTGTGCATGTATGTCCAGACATAATTAAATCAGCCTGTTCTGTTTTCTTCCTTCCCTCCCTTTCTTCAGCTTTCTATATAGAATTTCCATGGGTAGGTCCCCGTGTTATTTGGGCCACCAATTATTTGCTCAGAGTACATCTGTAGAGAGCAGCATTAGAGTCACACCAGTCCAGACATTAGGCTGTTTTCCATAGGAGATCCTTCCCCAGCGGCTTCCATAAGGAACGTGCTGCTAAGATTTACCTCATCAGCAAATGGGGAAAAGGGCTTGCAAATGCTGTCTCTGCTGTGCTGCCCACAGGCTATGAACCATGAGAGTCTGGCTGTTCTCATAATGTTAAATGAAAATGTGTGCATCTGAGATCAATAGCTAAGTGAATTAATCCTATTATTCATTCCTTTGTGGCTGCTCTTCCAAAGAAGCAGCCCTCCAAATGATGCTGCATTTCCTCTCCTTTGATGGGAAGCCCTGTGTGACACCTGTCCCCATGCCAATACATATTTACATGAGACATTTGCTCCCCAGGACATGCTTGCTGCTTATTAAGACAGAGAATCCTTATGATCTGTCACCAGGCTGCGCCAGCAGTCCTGCCACATGCAGCAGAAAATGATATTGCAGTAATTGCTCTCTCTTCCCTGTATTTAGCATAGGACAAGTCTCCCTTCACCCTGCCCCTCGTAAGTAGGAAGGCTTTTCTTTCTTCACTCCCTGGCAATTTCAGGCTCTGGAGCTTGTTTGGACAAGCAGGCAAGCGGTGTCCTCAGAGAGAAGTAAGAGCAGAGCAGGCGGAGAGGCAGGGGAAGGGCAGGATGTGTACATTCGGGCAAGCACAGAGAAATCCACTTAACCCCATCGATCTGTGTCTGCTGCTCTCTGGCAGTGAGTGCTGCCGAGTGGTGAGGCACCCACAGCCACTCAAACGTTCAGGGAAGGCACCGAGATCCCCGGGCATTAGGGAAGGGCTTTTGGCTTGTTTGCAGGCAAGGAGCAAGTTTGTGGTAGCTACATAGTATTCATAAGAGGAGGTGGAATTTTTAGTCATTGCTTTTAGCTTAAGAAGCCTCATTGCATAAGAACTGCCTTCCCCTATCTTATCTTTCCTAGGCTGAACATGTTCATGGGAGCAAGGAGTGATTGTGGGGAGGAGAGCAGATCCTGTCTAAACGATTGATCCCCACGCAAAAAGCATTGCTATAAATCCATGGCTGTGCCATAGATATCTGCTACTGTTATTCCAGAAATAAAAGCTCGCAGTTTTCAGTTAAAATATAGCTGGGGCACCAAAGCTAAAGGGAATGAATTCCTGTTGGCAGACCAGAGTACAGCCTTTATTATCCAGCCCTGCTGCCATTAAACGCAGCAGCGAGCGTGGAGCGTTCAGAGCCGCAGCAGCATCGCAGCGCAGAGCCCTGTACCACTTAGCTAATTGCAGCCGCAGCTATTTCCTTGGCCAGAGGCACTCTGTCCTTTCCACCTGCTTCCAGCTTCTCCTGCCTTTCTCACCTTTTAATGCTTTTCTTCTTTCCCTAAGTGTGCTTTATATAAATGACCTTTTATTTAGCTTTTACTATAGGGAACTGATTTCTTTTTTTTCAAGCTCCTGTACTAGCTCTCTCCTTCTGCATTTAAATGTGAATGCTTGTATGGCAATACTCTCATGCTCTCCCTCCCATTAGGCCATCCTGTTACATATGATCCTTTTTCCACCTTCTCAGTCTGTCCTCTTCTCTCTGGGAAAAGACCCATTAGATCCAGTTTTAAATCTTTCAAGCTGGCTGCCTCTATTTTAGTTGAGTTTTCCCCCTTTTAAACTCGACAAAAACAAGAGAAGGAAATTCTAATTCATCATTTTGCTCCCTTTTCATCCCAGACCTTGGGAAAACAGTCCACAGACAGTGAGATACCTTGTCAGAAAAAACTGGGGTAAAAGCAAAATTCTCCTTAGTCCAGGGATTGAGGTTTTAGCAAATCAGGTCCTGGTGTAGTTCCCCACCTGATTGCCACAGCCCCAGTTCCCATCAGAGAACTTCCCCATTCTCCTTCCCAGAGGAGTCCAGCAGGAATGCACACACAACCCAGTTCTCATACCTAGCTGATGAGCTGTATCAGAAGACGGGTGTTTTGAGCCAACACAGTTTGTTAGTTATTTTAAAAATAATTTCTATTCATTAATAGGAATCACATTCATTCCTTTACTTGTAAGGAATTTTGAGGTTTAGAAGAAGAGTCTTAAAACACACTCATGGCTGCTTTTTCTGAGGTTCTGAGTTTTTTCTAATGAGCCATAATTCCTGAAACTTCCATTTTTCAGTGAGAGATGGCTATGGTGCAAGAAAGCAAATGTGTTAAAGCAGCTTGTGGAAGGACTTCACTCTATATGCATTGTAATACATTATTCTCTGTTATTTTACTATAAAAACATGTCAAAAGGAATAAAAATTAATAAAAAATGTTTTAAAAATCTTAAGAATGTAGTCTGACTTGCTTACAAAATATAGCCAGGGAAAGGCAGATGACAGCTTTTCTTTCTGAAATCCTTTCCTTTCCTGGGGAAAGCCCTGAAAGTCACTTATCATGTCTCATTAGAGAAAAACAGCTATTTATCTCCAAACAATAGGCAATAAAGACTGACTGTGATATCATCTGAGAAGCAGTTTTTTCCTGAGTGATGACTGGTATATTCTCCCAAAAGTGTTGCACATGGTTTCCTTCAGGCTGAAATCTTTTGGCCAGCTACATCTTCTAGGACTCAGTGCCAATGAATGTCAGCATGTTTTCTACCCTATAGCAAAGAATTGCTGAGATGTGAATGCTACTTAGTTCCTTCTCAGTGCCATGGCTGCCAGACAGAGCTGCAAACACTCATCCCCTCTTGCTTCTTTCTGTTGCTGGACTTTCTAGGTGTCCATAGGGGCTTCAAGTTGGTCAAGTGCAACTGCCTTCTTGTGTTATGCTGTCAAATCTCAGCCTTGGAAGTGTTTTCTTTCATGCCATCTTTGGAGTTTTTTCCTTGCAACTCGTTACTGGGTGTCCAATTGAAGGTCTTTTGTCTTTTGAATGTTCTCTGTCCTGTGAGATACAAATATGAGTTGTGCAGAACTCCCTTTGTGAGAGCTTTTTACAAAACCCTTCCCAACCACATTTTGAAAGCCAGAAAAACATCTTCTCATGTATTTATGTCTACTTAATGCCATAACCAAATTGTGAGTCCCATCCTCACTGACCCCAGTTTCTGACTAGTGAAAAAGTTAATTAAACCCATATCTCTGCAAGAAAAGAAGAATGAACGTTAGGGAAAGTGAGAAGCACTTGTCTTGCTTCCCTTTCCCCTCGTCACACCCCCTCCTTCCAGTCTAAATCACCTCAGGAATCTCAGTTTAAAATAAAAAAAAAAAAAAAAAAAAAAAAAAAAAAAAAAAAAAACCGCCCCCCCCACAAACCCTCAGAGTAAGTTGGATACTTCAGGAGACCTGAAGAGCACTAGTGCAAAATTACCATCCTCCAGCAGTTTTCAAATCAGCATCTCACTCAGTATCAAGCCACTGTCACATTTTCCTATGGTATTGATCAATAAGGTGTAGGCTAAAAAATGTACCCTGGTAATATCAGTCTGTGTTTTGTGGGGGACTTTTCTATTTCATAAATGGGATTTTGAGAGTTAGTTAGGTAAATTAAGAGTACCCAACATCCATTCTTCACTCCACTCTTCAATACTTGATTTTTCAGAGTACTTAACATTTTATCTTGAAGTTTAAAATGCAGCTGTCATTAGTTGTGGTTGCTGCTGTAAGTACTCATTAGTGAGTCTTATTTTCTCTGAGTCAGATCTCACTCAGACAGTAAGATCCAGGGCCTCAGCTTGGAGATCTGAGGAACAAGAAGTCTATGTTTGAGAGCATTTATGTAATGCTCCATAGCGTGGGCAGGTTATCCCAGCCAGCAGTCTGTTTCAGCATCACCACACCACTGTGATGCAAATCTAGACAGATTTGAAAACAAAACAAAAAAAAAAAGACAGAACATAAGATTATGCAATTAAAATAAAAGATCGTATCACATGCTTATAAATGTGCTCTGCTCTGGAATTTCCTCATACCAGACTGCTTAACTTTGAGGCCTTATTCCCAATCCCCATAGGGCTGCCAGGGCTGTTGGAGCTGGGATCAGCTCAGTACCCTAATGTTAGGCACCTGCACCTCCAAAGTTTGTCCTGACAGCCCAAGGCAGGGAGCATTTATGGCTCTGAGCCTTTTCCACACCAACTGTGACCCACCTGGAGGGAGTGGGGTGGCTGAAGCCTCTGTGCAGGGGGGAAATAACGATTGGATTGAATTCTGTCACTTTCAACTTACCTTTAGCATGTGCTCTGACATTTTATGTTGTTCCTCTTCTTGAAGTTTAGCATAACTATGGTGAGAATTTTTGTGTTGCTGCTCCTGCTGGGTGAAAAGAATACCTTCTCTATCAAAGCCTTCAGGAATTTTCAAACACATTCTTGCCTCTGGCGTTTTTCTGAGGGCCTCTCACATTCCTGAGGCTGTAAATGAAGTGGCTGAGCATAGCAATCAGCAGCACATCCTCCACAAACAACAGGCTGCCCAGATGTCAGAGCAGACCAGGGATGTGACAGAAATAGATGAACTACACTACCCTGTGAAGGGTAGG